AGAAACATGAATTAATGCGATGGTTTCCAAACATTAGGGTTACGCATTCAACACATCAATGCTTTGCGGAATAAGGCGATTGACGCGTATCTGAAGACCTGCGTAGCAAGTGTTTAAAGTGATTTTGTCCGCCATGGAACGGCAATGACTGATCCAAATGGAACAACATCGAAACCAATACCGTCTTATCAATTTGCACTCAAGTGTGTATACACCCGACGTCTTCTTTCAAAACAACATGATAGCAAATGTCGCCTGATGTGCCAGATGGCAGAGTGCCGGCTGGCAACGAGACCCATCTGGCGGCATTCCAACGATGTCCGCAATTTACACGTGACGCCCAGTTCCGAATACAAAGAAGCCGGCTGCACGTCAGCGAAGTGGCAAGACGCTCCACAGCCCAGCCGGCAACACAGACGTCCTCACACATCTCGTCCGCGCCCGGCCGGGGAGTTGACTTCCCCCAAGGTTTTTTCGAGCGCAGGTCTAGAACGAAGGCTCGCAGCGACACAAAGCTTTTAATAGCCCTTCATCCATCCACTTGGCATACTTTGTGCCGATTTATAGTTTTGACCTACCAAGACCTGGTCTAGGTGAGGTCAAAGAGGTCTGCCTCTAAAATAACTCTGACCACAAGTTTTTTTTGGGTTGGTCAATTGCTATTGTCCAACTTGCTGAAGTCTGAGAGCATGACAGTACCTACGGTTTGTATACTTCAGATTTTTCGAAAGATGCGAGGTCAATGACCTGAAATGAGCTCATTTTTTCTTTTCCATAAGATATGTAAATTTGTACACAGTTGTGTAGTCTTGGCGTCCGTTTATGAGGAAAAAAGCATTAAACCACGTGCAAAACCATCATATGACCACAGAGCACATTGCCTTGGACCGGGGCACGACTTACCTTTAAGGGTGCCTTCTGCAAAACGCATGCTGAACTCAGTGAGCAGTTTTCGCAATAATTTTGGACACAGACTTCGAATGCTCCACTGAAATCCTGTTGTGATATTATTCTAACGCATAACGAGGTAATAACATGTCATGTGATAGCACGCAAGGCCACGTGAGGTCATCCAAGGTCAATGACGTATATTGTCAGTAGCAGAGAAACTAGATGAACGAGTGTGACGCGTGTAACTACCTCCTTACTGTGTTTGCGAAGCTGATGACGTCTAATGTCATGTACCAACGTGCCTGCTCCCAGTCCTTTACAAATTCGCAGCCAAGCGTCGAAGAGAATATGTATAATGTAAACAGCTATGCGATCTTAAGCACCTGTAGTTTTACAACGCACTATTTCTCCCCACAGAAAGGCATTGCACTGGTTACATAGACCCAGCTAACACGTAAAGTTTTTCATCTGAGTGACCTACAAATTTGACCCAAGTTGACCTCAGATAGCCAGTGGGTCAGCCTAAAATAACGCTTTCGTGCCTGCAATACTTTTGTCTCGCAGCTGTTCCTGGTCATATAAACTTAAGAGCACATTGTGAAAAAGCATAATCCTCGTAGGCTACTGGTAGACCAATTTTGAACGGTGACCTGGTCTGACCTGTCCCTTGCGGGGAACACAAATTATCCGAATGTACTTGCCACAGTCTTAACGCTTATTTCCGTGCCTTCAAATCTGTCGTGACGTATAAGCATGGGTGTTAACTGCAGCTATCAGACCGTTTGTTTTTGACCTTTCATGACCTTTGGTGACCTCACATTTGACCAAATGTCAAATACTTGGTGTGCACTCTTCATGATTTCACAATACCTTCACAACGGTTGTGTTCTCATACGGTGTCTAAGGTTAAAATTTCAAAGGGGCCCGGACGGGCGTGGTTGTCTCACACCCCGGTGGGGGGGAGGGGGGGGGGCAGGTTCATAATATAGCACAGTTGCGGCCGGCTGAGCGATCCGACGCTGCCAGCACGAAACGCCCCCTGGTCGGCCTACGTGTCCAACTATCTGCCCATGACACTGGGGGCAGGGCCGGAGTCCCCAGAGGCGCCACCGGCGCGCCGGGCAGCAGCCATCAGCGCCGCCCCGCGGCCCGGAGAGGACTCGACGGCGGGCCGCGCCACCAGCCACGCCGCGGCCCGGCCCCACAGGGCGCCGGCGCGTCTGCCGATGTCAGCGACCCCGACCCAGGCGCCGGCGCGGGCGCCGGCCGCGGCCGGACAATATCAACACAGCGACGGGGCCAGGCTGACCTAGCGCGGCGCAGAGGCGGAGGAGCGCGGCAGCGTGCCGCCGCGCCCGATCCCAGCGGCACGGCCCGCGTCCCCGCCTGCCGCCGCCGCCAGAGCGCGTCTCACCGCGCCAGGCCCACGGGCGGCGCGCGTCTGCGCCGGGCGGGTGCTTCCCGCGCCCCCACCTGGATCTTATACTCCTTGAACTTGGCGGCCACCTGCGGCATGTACTTCTGCGGCAGGGTGCGCTTGGTGCCGAGGAAGGCGCCACCCTGCGGCACCCATCCCGTCACGTCGCCCCAGCCCATCTCCTTCACCTGTGGGGACAAAGACGGCTGTCAACTAGGGCTCGGGCTCGGGCTCGGGCCCGGGCTCGGGCTCGGGCTCGGGCTCGGGCTCGGGCTCGGGCACGGGCTCGGGCTCGGGCTCGGACTCGGGCTCGGGCTCGGGCACGGGCACGGGCTCGGGCTCGGACTCGGACTCGGACTCGGACTCGGGCTCGGGCTCGGGCTCGGGCTCGGGCTCGGGCTCGGGCTCGGGCTCGGGCTCGGGCTCGGGCTCGGGCTCGGGCACGGGCACGGGCTTGGGTTGGCCAGGCGCACCCGCGGCACTGCGCACGTCTATATGATTCTCCGGGCTTTTGGGCGCCACCACCGCGCAGGCCACCGGCCGCGCGGAGCCACACGTGTTTCGAGGCGGCCGTAAACGCTGCGATTTGAGAGTCATAACTCTGACGCAGGTCGTAGAACACACACCCGGCGCTCGCGGCAACATTCTGCGGCGGCATCAGGCGCATGATTGTTTTTTCAGCGCACGCGACTTGATCTTTGAGCCCGGGACCCCTCCGCAGCTGCAGGAGCCATGCGTCCGCTGCTGGTCCACGTCAGCCCGCCGCCGCAGCCGGCACCTTCAACCCAGCCCGCGTCGACCCCATCAGCAGCATGTCGGCAGTGTCCCGATTCCCCCCTCCCCCCCCTCCCCATCCCCCAGTCGGTCCGCAGTGTCGCGTACATCGCGTGGCGTCGGAGCCCCCGGCCCCGTCAATCGGCAGCGTCGGCAGAAGCGTCGGCACTCCCAGCCGTCCGGCGGCGCAGGCGGAGCGCCGGGGCCGCGGGCGGGCCCGGCCGCCAGCCGGCGAGTGCGGCCGGCAGCGCTGTTTACGCGACCGGGGCGCGCGCCGCCGCCGGCTGCCGGCTGTGCCTGGCGGCTCGGGCGCCGGCGTTACCACCGCGGTCGCGCGCTGACACGCCCCCTTCCCCCCCCCCCCTTGTCCGACACAGGACAGGCCGCCGACCGTTTGACACCCGCAACCAAGCTCGGCCAGCTGTAAGCAGGCACACCGCAGCTCTGCCTCCGTGGAGGCCACGCTTCCCCACGACGGTGCTGCTGCTGCTTAGTGTCGAGGCGCTGTCCGGTTGTCGTCTTAGTGCTCCGCTATGCGGTAGCTGCATTGCCTAAGACAGACACAGCTTGGTGGGCCGCTACGGTACCTGCCAGTGTTGCACTCACCCCACTGCCCTCAGGGCAGATGGCACCATCGCCGCCGCCCCTCCCGCTTAGTTCGGCCCCGCTCACGCTGCCGTTCGCCGTCCGTACTCACATGGCCCTCCACCAGGCCCTCGATGCCGTCCTGGATGCCCAGCACCGTGTCGCCGCGGTAGATGCTGTTACGGACGAACGAGCGCACGGCGGCGTTCATGCCGCAGCAGGGCGCGCCCACGTGCATCACGGCTAGAGTGTGACCGCCCTGCCGGCAGCGGCGCGCGGAGTCACCGTCACGTCACAGCGGCGCGCGGCGTCATCGCCACGTCACAGCGGCGCGCGGCGTCACCGTCACGTCACAGCAGCGCGCGGCGTCATCGCCACGTCGCAGCGGCGCGCGGCGTCACCACGGACGGGCCCCAGCCGGCGGCGCCACGCAGCCACCGAGCCGTGACGGCGGCGGCGCGGATGGCCAGGGTGACGCCGCCGGTGTCTGCGCACGCCGCAGTCAGCTGAGCTCAGGGGACACACGGGTCGCTGCCCGGCGCCGACCATAGGCAGCCCGCTGTGGGTGTGGAAGGCGGCGCCTTGTCAGCGGTCGCAGACGCCGTTCCGAAGGCGCGACACTGGCGCGGCGGCTCGCTGCACCACCGCGCGCTGTTTCCATTCCTAGGGGCCCCAGCTGACGTCTGGCGGGGCGCGTCCAACCACCTCGTCTGACCGGAACGCTACCGAAGGCGTCCACGGCGGTGAGCTACCCGGAGGCGATGGGACATCGGACATCACGCACGAGCATCGGCGGGCCCAGGTCAACCTGGCCAGAGACAGTCACCATTCCCGCGGAGCCGTCGGCGCAGCAAGCGCCATCAGTCTCACCGTGGGTCTCCGAACTGATAGCAGGGCCCACCCAGCCGGCGCACGTCTGGCCGGGCGATAAAAACGCAGACAGCTGCTGCTCGGCGCACGCTCAGCGATTCGCTACCAGGCCGGTGCATTTCACGCTTGTCTCGCCGGCAAAAAGACGAGACGACAAGCGTGCCCGTCGCCGACAGAGCAGCAATCGGAACATACAATATTTTGAAGGCTGCCGAACGCGACCCAGCGACCCAATTTTGTGACGGACTATCCCTAGATGCAGCCACAAAAAGCAACACAGGCGGCACGAACAAGTCGGTTGACCACATCGACCACGGCAACTACGAGTTGATCGTCTCATTCACTGAATTGAGTCCGTTATTCCATCTCATAAATGGGCCTGTTCCAGCTTCCAGCTTCCGAGTACACCAGGATAACGGCATCCGAGCGTCACAACGAGGCGCACGACCGCCCACCGACAGTCACGCAGGCATGGTCTCTCTGCGACGCGATGGATGCACACACAAACCGATGCCGAATTACATGAACTACCAACTGTCTGCAACTTCATGCAGATGCATGCGAAAACTGCCAACACAGTTCATCCTATCTGTCCGAAGGAACACATAGAGATCAAATTCCGCGTCTGCATTCATGCGCAACAATCTGCCAGGGGTCATGTTCAAGGTCAGGAAGCTTAGCGTGATAAACATACACATATTAATGCCGAACCCATGCTCACAAGCAAATACGTGAGCAAGCTCGTGAGCCTTAAATATATCACCATAGGTAACAACATCGGACAGGTCCCTGCAGCGTTGAGTGTCAATTGTGGTGTCTAGTAGCGCTGTCTTTGGCAATGGCTACTAGTCTTCACAGTGTTCCTAAACAATCGACGCCTTCGACACGGGATGTGGACATAAGCATTGTGCTTCATCGGCAATATGTCTGTTGAAGCTACTGGGTACATCGGCCGCAAGCCAAGGCCAGATGCGAATCGCCTCGCGGCGAGGGAGGGCATGACGAAAAAACATGACCTCGAGCGTTGCCGAGAGGTAGGCAAGCGCCTGTCAGATGGCAGGATAGCACCAGCCCGTGATGTCGAGCAGGGGCAAGGGGCACCTGGACCGACACGACCCGGGGTGACGTCCGGGCCGGGCCCTCGCCGGGACCGCGAGCTCGACACGGCCCGGGGTGACGTCCGGGCCGGGCCCTCGCCGGGACCGCGAGCTCGGCCGACAGCCGCGCCCTGTCCCACAGGGCCAGCCGAGGACACCGGCGATCAGGGACAAGGGGCGCCTGGACCGACACGGCCCGGGGTGACGTCCGGGCCGGGTCCTCGCCGGGACCGCGAGCTCGGCTGACAGCCGCGCCCTGTCCCACAGGGCCAGCCGAGGACACCAGCGAGTGCTGCAACACGCCCGGGACTCCAGCCGCCCAATCAAGCTTGACGAGCGCCGCTGCTGCCAGGGACCGTGTGCCGGCCTAACGTATGGGTGTATGTAACGTGGAGTCATGCTTTCCTATAAGGTTGCTATGAGGTAACGAAATGCTGCAAGGAACAATGATCAGCTCGACGCTCGCAAAAGCAATGACTCGTCTCATGCTGATCTATGACAGGTCATTAGACATGTCGAACCACGTAACGTCTTGCCCGTACCTCATCCCAGAGGGTATGTTGCTGGCACGAGGACAACAAAACGCACGTGTTAGACGCGTCTTCTCCGCTGCACATCACATAAAGAACAAGCTGGCACTGGCACCTGCTCTGACGAGCTCGACAACATCCTGAGTACACCAGAACTGTCAGGACAGCCGGCTACTCCGCCCCTCTCCTGCCGCTTGCCCAAGGCTGGATTTACACGCGCGGCATCCCACACGTCCGCTCAGTGCTGTCCTGTATCCCAATGCATGTCAATGGACAGCCGTATCTTGTGGGTGAGAGAATGCCGACGAAGCCTTGAAGCAATGCACAGTACTACGGGCACACAAAGCGTCAGCCTCACTTACCCGCACCATCTGTAAGTGAGAGAATACATATTAAAAACAACAGGAAACTTCGTCACACAATGCGCACGTGCCGTCAAAATACAGGTGGAATGTTACCAAAAATACCTGGCACAAATACGCCTCTCCGTTTCCGGCCGTCGGATCGGAGTGAGAGCATCACCGTGGACAAAACCACCGCAGCCATTTGTACCAGTGCACTGACACCAAATAGACAAAATAGCTTGAGACTACACATACAACAGTGTGCCGATGAAAACACATTTTTTCTGCATGCTGCTCGTGACGGAAAGATGACAACCATATCCAAAATATCCTACTTCAGCCACGTCAATAGCGTCCAGTCCCTGGAGCCCAGCAGGTCCACGGCTTTACCTTTCCAATGGTCTCCTTGGGCGGCTTAAGACGAGTCAGCATCTTGTACGTCTCCAGGTTGCGGGCAAAGCTCCTGAAGCGGTCCAACGCAAGCGGTACATGAGTCCATCGCGACTCCAGAAGTCCCCGGTCGCGCGGATTATTAAAATCACAGCCCACACTTAAAGTCTGGGGCTGACTGCTACCAGCTCTGATGATGGACCCCAGTCCGAACATCTTCTTCACATCACTCACGAACAGTTCACTGAAGCTGGACTTCGTCAAGTTATTACTGATGACGGAACAAGATGAAGTTAGGACAAAACCCTAGCCCTAGTGATTCCACGATTGGGTGCATTTCAGTTAGTTACTCCTTGTGCATTGCAGATCGCTAATTACTCATAATGTATCGCTAACCACGGCAAGAAATGGATGGTGCCAGACGCTCCTTTCGTCACATCACACGAACCCATGCGCTCTGCAGCGTCGGCCAACATACCAAGCACGCATCACTGCCAGCGTGCAGAGTGTGCCACGGAGCTGTGGCGACAGCGCTGCTGTTCTTCATCCGTGCAGTCCCCGCGCACCAGTCCGTGCACCCGTCAGCCCGCACCACCCGGCATCACCCTCACCACCGGTCGGTCGCGCCACCCGGCATCACCTTCCACCACCAACAGGTGGCGCCTCGCCATCCGCGACCCAACCCCTCCCCGGGCAGGGGGCGCCGACACCAGCCGGCCGCCCACCGACCTGCCACGACCCAAAACCCTCCCGGGGCAGGAGGCACCGACACCGCCTGGCCGCCCATCCAACTGCCGCAACCCCCCCCCCCCCCCTCCCACCCCCTCCCGGGGCAGGAGGCACCGACACCGCCTGGCCGCCCACCCAACTGCCGCGTCCCCCCCCCCCCTCCTCCCGGGGCAGGAGACGTCGAGACCGCCCGGCCGCCTGCCCACCTGCCGCGACCCATCCCCTCCCGGGGCAGGGGGCGCTGACACCGGCCGGCTGCCCACCGACCTGCCACGACTCAAAACCCTCCCGGGGCAGGAGGCACTGACGCCGCGCGGCCGCCTGCCCACCTGCCGCGTCCCCCCCCCCCCTCCCGGGGCAGGAGACGCCGACACCGCCCGGCCGCCTGCCCACCTGCCGCGTCCCCCCCCCCCCCGTCCACCCCCTCCCGGGGCAGGAGACGCCGACACCGCCCGGCCGCCTGCCCACCTGCCGCGCAGCTCGACGGCCAGCTCCCAGTTCTTGTCGGCCATGGCGGCGGCGACGGCCTGTGTCTTCTTGACACAGGCCATAAGCGGCACGCGCACCGCCTGGTTGCCGTCCAGGGAGATGACGCTGGCCTCGGTCTCCGGCGTGGCCTCGATGAGCGCCAGCACCGCCTCGGCACCCATGCGGCACCCCTGGCGAGCAGAGACGGCCGTCAGGCGGGGTCACATGACACCTGTCTCGCAGCGCCGGCCACGGAAGCGAGCGTCCGCCCGGAGCCTTACGACTCGCGTCAAGCAGTGCTGACGACGGGAGCGGCCTGGTCCGAGCCTAACGACGGGAGCGGGCTGGTCCGAGCCTGACGACGGGAGCGAGCTGGTCCAAGTCTGACGACGGGAGCGGGCTGGTCCGAGTCTGACGGCGGGAGCGGGTTGGTCCGAGTCTGACGATGGGAGCGAGCTGGCCCGAGTCTGACGGCGATAGGACACAGGGCGTCTCCCGACCACGGACGGAGTATCAGTCCGGACCAGACGACACCCGTCGGACGGCGACAGAAGGTGTCGGCCCGGGAGACGGGATCACGCAGCCCCGCTGACACACGCCTGACCGTTGGAGAGGCGGGTCAGTCCGGGGGCACACGGCACCCACCCACGGCACGGCGGACGGGACGGCGAGCCGGGGGTCAGTCAGCGGTGCCATGACACCCCTGACGGTCGGGCAGCAGGTCACTAGTCCATGGTTGCAGGGAACCGCTCCGGCACACTGGCCAGATGGCAGCACGGTCCGTTGCAGGTCACCAGGCACACATCCCGCGATCCTGATAATCGCGGTGAACTCAGTGCTGGGCCACCCCACACCCTTCCTTGGCACGCACCATTCAGGGCTCTGGGATGCGCGACAGTCAGAGGGAAGGCAGTCGATGGTTACACAACGCCCATTTGGGGCTGCTGACGACAGGGGACGAGCGTCTCTCTGGGGTCGCACGGCACTCATTTGGTACCTCGAGCGATTGAAAAGGATGGTGCCAGTCCCAGACTGAGAAGGCTCCGATACCACAGGGACACCCGAACCCATCCAGCGTCCCTCCTGCCAGACACCATGTCCGTGAGGATATGTTGAGCAACAGCACTCTTCCCAACCATTCTGATACAGAGGCAACCACTGACAATAGACCACACCAGGTGATAACGTTGAACCCCATAGCAGTTAGCTATGAAAAAGGAATAGCGCCCAATAAATTTTGTCGCTTCCTTCCAAAGGCTAAGTCGAAAAGGTGTTGCTTTGGTTCATACAAAAGAAACAACTGAGCAAAAAGAAGTAATGCAATGAGTACGCTTAAGGTATCTATTGCAAAAGAGCATAAAATGACCACCTGTGCTGCCATCTATAAACGAATTGCTCCACGTCACAATCGCTCCGCACAGCAATAGATGAAATCACATTACTCTTTAAGTTCGTCCATCGTTTTCCTCAACTGCCACAATTCTCCCAACTGACAGTTTCTAGACGCGACTGTGATAACCTGGGGGATGGCGACAGAGATAGCCAGGACGTGCGCGCCGGACCTCCGGACGCGCGCGCCGGACCTCCCGGACGTGCGCGCCGGACCTCCGGACGTGCGCGCCGAACCTCCGGACGTGCGCGCCGGACCTCCGTGCTGACCGCGGCCGTCCGCCAGCGGACCACTCACCAGGATGCGGTCGAAGGCTGAGGGACTGCCACCGCGCTGCACGTGGCCCAGCACGGTGACGCGTGTGTCGAAGCCCAGATTGTCGACCACCACCTGGCCGACAGACCACCGCCGCCGGGGTGAGGGACACGGTCGGAGACGCTGGGACAGCGGGTCAGACAGCCTGGCCCAGTGGCGGGTTCGGCACATTTCGACGGCAGTCGCTTGTCCACGGCCCAGAAAATTAGACGTCGGCTCACGTAACCACCGATATCTAAGGCAGAGCCCGTGAGCTAAACAAAACAAGTCGGTGACAGCGCCTGAGGACCAGCTGGCGTGCAACGGATACTGCAATGGAAAAGGTGCCCACGAGACGGTGCGACACCATACCGGACAGCGGCTCCACAGACAGTATGACACCACCCCAGGGAGAATCTCCAGAGACAGGGTGATACCAACCCGGCAGCAGCTTCAGAGGCAGTGTGACACCAACCCGGCAGCAGCTCCAGAGACAGGGTGACCATCCCGGGCAGCAGCTCCAGAGGCAGTGTGACACCATCCCGGCAGCGGCTCCAGAGACAGTATGACACCACCCCGGGCAGCAGCTCCAGAGACAGTGTGATACCACCCCGGGCAGCAGCTCCAGAGACAGTGTGATACCACTACGGCAGCAGCTCCAGAGGCAGCGTGACACCAACCCAGCAGCAGCTTCAGAGACAGTGTGACACCATCCCGGGCAGCAGCTCCAGAGGCAGTGTGACACCATCCCGGCAGCGGCTCCAGAGACAGTATGACACCACCGCGGGCAGCAGCTCCAGAGACAGTGTGATGCCACCCTGGGCAGCAGCTCCAGAGACAGTGTGATACCACTACGGCAGCAGCTCCAGAGGCAGCGTGACACCAACCCAGCAGCAGCTTCAGAGACAGTGTGACACCAAGCCGGCAGCAGCTCCAGACAGTGTGATACTACTACGGCAGCAGCTCCAGAGGCAGTGTGACACCACCCCGGCAGCAGCTCCAGACATTGTGGGACACCAACCCCGCGGCAGCTCCAGACAGTGTAACACCAGCACGGCAGCAGTCAGACCTGGCCATCCGACACCTGCCGGACTCCAGTCGGCTCACCTGCTTGATCTTGTCGGCGGTGACGGCGTTGCCGTCGCGGTCGATGGCGCCCTCCGCCACGATGATGATGTTGAGCCGCTGGCCCAGCTCGCGCTCCTGCTCGCGGCACACGAGCGCGGGTCAGCCGGCCGCCGGTGGGGCGAGAGGCGCGCGCCGCCACCAGGTGACGTCGCGACGGCACAAAGTGGTCCCAACCAAGTCTTACGGGGCTTTGAGGATTAGGGCCTGAACGGGCGGTGATAAACAGACCGAGCAAAGCACAAAAGCTATCAAAAAACATCACAAAATCTCGAAAAAGTACACAATTTGAAAGTGATGTATCAAAAGCGCAAGCGAAATACGGGCTGTCGGCGCGTCACACATTCCGTGGTATACCACCGCGGTCGCAGCACACTGCAGACCAGGCTCCCAGGACAAGGCGGTGACCTGGCGCCGATGGCTTACCGCCACCAGTGGCACCTTCAGTTTCTACTCCCTCCCGTTGCAGAGATAACGCCTGCTCTGCGCAGCACGCTTGTCCGTGGCTCGCAAGCGGCAAAGACGTCCTGCTCGCCGGACGCACAGCCATGGGGCGTCGATTTGTGTAAATGATAGACTGGGTAGGGGGGGGGGGGGGGGGGCGAGAGTTCGACTGTTCAACGTTTCCTGAATATGTTGCTGAAAATTACCGCATTTTGTTTTGACGAACAGGATTGGTTTTCCACCATTCACACACTAATACCGATTTTAGCAGCACAGTAGCCATGGCTTTCAAATGATGCTGGAAGCAGGTAATACTCGCAAGACTTAGAGCGTTTCCCCCAAATTTTTTAACATGCCCCATAAAAATGCCAGGGGACCAAAGCAATTTTCAGAGGAGATCAGCATTGAAAAAGGCAGGGCCCTCACAAAATGATACAAATCGACACCCCTGTGCGCAACTCACAACCGAAGCCGCCCAGCGCAGCAGAACGCGCGCGTGTGTGCAAGCGTACCCAACGTGCATCTGCGCTAGCTCGCGCAAGCAAAGCAGGCAGGCTGAAGGATTGAGGGATAGAAGACAAGCGAAACGGAGGGATTAACAAGGCAAGCAGCGACCAGAAAGGTATCAATAGATGCCGAATAGCATGCAAATAATAAAACAAGGCGTTATTTGCCGACTGTTTGGTCACACTACTCGGACCGAACATCACGGCCCCTCGGACCCAACGCTGACCTAGCAAAGGAAGGCCATCCGTCTGGTTTGCCATGAGGCAGGTGGTGGAGGCGGTGTCTCGCGTTTGGTCCCGTGCATCACTGGACTGTTTTTCGGCGGACGCATGACACTAACGGGACCTACAAGGATTAAATCCTGACAAAGAGTTAGACAAAGGGTAGGAGCTGCTGCGTCTGAGGTCGGTGACGGTATTTTCAACTCTGACAACCGCATGGTAACGACCCAGTTTTCTGTAAAATGTGGGCCGGCCTCCCGCCCTTCCCGATCTAAGGCTTACAACTACAAACAGGCAGACTTCGACGGTCTGCGCACTGCTCTCGGGGTCATTCCTTGGCGTATTCTAAATGATTTAAGTGTTGATGATGCCGTCCATCTGTTCTATGATCTTGTATTCGCCACCACTGCAAACTTCATACCTATTGTTGAGCTCCGAAAGAAATTTCCTCCATGGTTTGACCGGCCCGTTCGAGGCTTGCTGCGTGACAGGGAGATGGCACACAGACGTAAGAAAGCGCTTCCGACCGCCCACAATATCGCTAGGCACCGTACTGCTAGAGCCGACTTCAAAACAGCAGCTGATGCTAAATATCCCGAGTATTTGTTGGGTCTAATGCGAGACCAAGGGCAACCGAAACGTTCTTGGTCTTTGTTGAGTCCTTGAAGTCATCAGCGCACATATCCTCCGTTCTTGAGTGCGATGGCAATGTGTACAAGGGTGATGAGTAGCGTGCCAACTGTCTGAATGCGTTTTGCTCGTAAGTTCTGTGATCCTGACGTTTGTATATTGCCTGACCACCTTTGCTCGATGCTCTTGGATTAACGCTACCTCAGTGCACACAAGGTCTGTGGTCCCGACGGGCTCAGTGCCCGGATTCTCAAGGAATGTGCCGAGGAGCTGGCTATTCCGTTAGAAATAATATGCAAGCTTTCTCTACGCTCCAGCGTCTTCCCCGCCATGTGGAATCACGAGAATGTGACACCGGTGCATAAGAAGGGGCCCAAAAAGCTGCCTGAAAATAACAGAACTGTGTTGTTACTTCCCATCTGTTCAAAAATATTGGAGAAGTTGTGAACAATAGCCTATTACAGGTTTGTCTGCCCGCCCCATCCCCAGCAAAGCACGGATTCCTGCCAAAGCGCTTTTGCATCACAAACCTTTCATGTTCTTTAACATTGCTGTACATCTCAAAACGTTCACAAACAGATGCAATTTACACCGATCACTCTTCAGCATTCACCAGCGTGAATCACCTTCTGCTACACAAGCTCCGCTATTCTTTTTGCATCACCGGCCGTGCGTACAGCTGGCTGGAGTCGTACTTCAGCAATCGTTCACAACGCGTGGTGCTGAACCGCAAACAGTCTGACTGGATTCCACTGCGATATGTGTCCTGACATCTGTGTTCATTCTGTGCCCCGGAAGGCAGCATCTTAGGACCGTTGCTGTTCGCCTGTTTTCTGGCTGATGTTCCTGACCAAATCGAGAGTGCCTTATGAACGCTGATGATGCGAAAATTTATCACCGAATCGACGACGTAGCAGATTGTCTTACATTTGAGGCAGATTTGGATCGCCTCTGGTCCAATGGTCCAATGGTCCAATGGTCCAAAAACTGGGGACTGAAACTGAACCCAGCTAAGTGCAATACCACATCATTCACCCTCCGCAAATCGCCTGCTCACTACTCATACGCACTAGACGGTCACCGCTTGGATAGCTGCCAGCAGATTCGTGATCTTGGCGTCTTGCTGGACACCAAACTAACCTTTGCCAATCACATAGATTCAGCGGTCTCGAAGGCAAATAGGATGCTGGGCCTTCTCATGCGAAGCGTGCAAATGCCGTGCCCTCGTCAGGCGCCTCTTCAACGCTCATGTGAGACCATTGATAGCGCACGGTAGCGTTATTTGAAGCGGTGCTGCCGTTTCCCATCTTCCACGGTTCGAAAGGCTACAACACCGTTTTCTCATATGGCTGGGTTCGAGTAGCCAGCCTCGGTGTCCTCCACTGGATTGTGAGCATCTTCTCGCTTTCTTTAAAACATCATCTATCAAGCCACGCTTCACTCAGTCTGACATCTTATTTCTTTACATCATATTTCATCACCGGCTTGACCGCGCTCACCTGAAATCACTGTGCAGTCTGGCTACACCCGTCCAGCGTTCTCGGCATGTCGCCCTTTTCCACCAGCCATTTGCAAGGGTCAATACTGTTAAAAACGGATTTGTCGCACGACTACCCGCTGTCTGCAATTAATTTTTGCGGCATTTTCCTTCAACTAACGTTTTTCATCCAACAAAATCATTCCGATCTGATTTGTTTAGGTTCGCCGGCAGACGCGGAACATTTTCTTGACGACTTGTTGCGCGACTGTGTGTAATGTGTGTGGGCGTGTGTGTGTGTTTGGTTGGGTTTTTGTTTTCGTGTGTATCTTATCTTTATTGTTCTCAAAACTGGACTTCATCCGTAACTGGGCTTTTGCCTGTGGAATGCTCACGTCCTAAATATACAAATAAACAAATAAACAACACGGGTGCGGCCGGTGGGGACGTGGGAGCATCGTGTTAGTCTTCTTCGACAGTGAAAAGAGACCTCAAGCACACCTTGAAAGGTGGGAAGCAGCACGACGACGTTCACAGTCCCAAACATAGTTCGGTGTGGCAAGTTAATTTGTTTCCTCGCGACTTCCACCCCAAAATCCTTACTGCTAAATTGTACGCATCGTGCCACCGAGCAGCCTATCCTGCGTCACATCCTCCTAGACATTTACATACAATGTCTGTTTACTGCACAATATTTGTGATCTCGTCCACGGGGTGTTGTGTGATCTCGTACATGGGGTATCGTGTGATCTCGTACATGGAGTGTTATGTGATCTCGTACATGGGGCGTTCTGTGATCTTGCAAATGGGGTGTTGTGTGATCTCGTACATGGGGTGTTGTGTGATCTCGTACATGGGGTGTTGTATGATCTCGCACATGGAGTGTCGTGTGATCTCGTACACGGGATGTTATGTGACCTCTTACACGGGATGTTGTGTGATCTCGTGCATAGGGTATTGTGTGATCTCGTACATGGGATGTTGTGTGATCTTGCACATGGAGCGTTGTGTGATCTCGTACATGGAGTGTCGTGTGATCTCGTACATGGGGTGTCGTGCGATCCCGTACATGGCGTGTTGTGTGATCTCGTACATGGGGTATCGTGTGATCTCGTACATGGAGTGTTATGTGATCTCGTACGTGGGGTGTTCTGTGATCTTGCAAATGGGGTGTTGTGTGATCTCGTACATGGGGTGTTGTGTGATCACGCACATGGGGTGTTGTGTGATCATGCAAATGGGGTGTTGTGTCATCTCGTACACGGGGTGTTGTGTGATCTCGCACATGGAGTGTCGTGTGATCTCGTACATGGAGTGTCGTGTGATTTCGTACATGGGGATCTCGTACATGGGATGTCATGTGATCCCGTACATGGGGTGTCGTGTGATCTCGTGCATTGGGTGTTGTGTGGTCTCGTGCATTGGGTGTTGTGTGATCTCGTACATGGGATGTTGTGCGATCTTGCACAAGGAGTGTTGTGTGCTCTTGCACTTGGGGCATTGGCATGCACTTTAATGCATAAATAAAAGATAAGCAGTAATGAGATTGGCTCAATAATGGGCTGGAACGGACCTTGTCAGGCATTGCGGGAAAGAAGTTATCCTGGACGTAATGGGCCAGGGGTGCGTAATAGTCGACAAGTCTGCGCTACGTCGCCGGAAATGAGCTGAACATCCAGGCTGCACGAAACGGGGGCTGATTGAAGCGTATAGGATAAAGTGCAATATAAAATGCACGCCACATTTCAAATTCCAAAAACGTGTAAAGCATACATGCTCCGTCAGATATGGCACAAAAT